TTGTCTTTCATACAGATAACCTTGGCCTATATGGTGTCGGTGGTGGAAAGAACTAGGAGTTTATGAATATAAACTCAAGTACACACTAGAGCCCTCTGTGGTCACTTCTGTTTATTGTCACTTGCTGAGGAAATTGAAGCCCAGACAGGTGAAGTCGCTTGCTGAGGTCTGAAAGCTAGTAAGCTACAGAAGCAAGCCTTAACCATCAGCTCTTAACCTTATGCTCTGCTAACTGGAGATAAAGCCTTTTTCCCTAATGAAGTTTTAAAGTAGAGAATGAAGTAGAAAATAAAAGTATACTAGGCAATAAATACTTCGGAAGCTGAGAAGAGAGTCAAAAATCATTTCAATAACATAAGTGTGTGTCAGACAGAAAGAAGGGTCTGGAAACACCAGGATAAAAGAGAGACGGTATTCCTGCCCTCATGGGCCTTGGAGTTTAGGAGCAATTCCTTCCCTCTCTCCATTGTTCCCTCCCTGCCTTAGAACAGGATGTCATTGTGTTGCCCAGGTGGCCTCAAACTCCTATATAACTGATCCTCTTGCCTCAGCCCCGAGTAATTATCAGCTTAGCAGCAATTTCTTGTGTGTGTGTGAATGCATGTATGTGTGTGTGTGTGTGTGTGTGTCTGTGTCTGTGTGTGTCTGTGTGTGTCTGTGTCTGTATGCCTGTGTGGGTAAATGTGTGTGTGCAGGTATCACATCTGCATGCACACGAGGAGGGCTAAAGAAGGGTGATTAGGAAAGGGGGTTCCTGCCTTCTTTTCTTGACTCAGGACCTCTCACTGAGCCTGGAGCTCACCAGTTTTTGGCTAGACTGGCTGGCCAGCAAACCCCAGTGAATCTCTGGTCCCTGCCCTGCCCTCTTAGCACTGGGTTACAGTCATACAGCCTGTTTACTCTTCTGTTGCTGTGATAAAACTCCATGACCAAAGCAACTTTTGGAAGGAAGAGTGTGCTGGACAGCTTTAGTGTCAATTTGACACACCTGGGTTGAGGGAGCCTCAACTGGCCTGTGGCCATGTCCATGGGGAACCTTCTTGATTGTTGATATGGGAGGGCCCAGCCCACTGTGGGTGGTGCCACCCCTGGGCAGGCGGGCCTGTGTTGCATAAGAAAGCAGGCTGAGCAGGGGCCAGGGGAGCAAGCCAGTAAGCAGTGTTCCTCCATGGCCTGTGCTCCAGCTCCTGCCTCCAGGTTCCTGCCCTGAGTTGCTACCTTGGGCTCCCTGATGAACTGTGACCAAGGAGATGTAAGATAAATAAACCCTTTCCTCCCCAAGTTGGTAGTGGTCAGAGTGTTTTGTCACAGCAAAGAAGAGACAAACTAGAACAAAGAGTTTATTGGACTTACAGTTCCAGAGAGATGAGTCCATCATAGTGGGGGAGACATGGAAGGAGGCCGCCAGAGCAGAAAACTGAACACTCACATCGCCAAGCAGAAAGCAGAGGCAGACTGGAAGTCAGAGGAGACCATATACTCTCAGAGCCCGCCCCCAGTGACCAGCTTCCTCCAGCATGGCCACACCTCCTAAAGGTTCCATGATCTTCCACAAACAGAGCTAACCAACAGAGGACCAAGGGTTCAAATATTTGAAGTCTATGGGGGATGTTCTCATTCAAACCACCACAACACCCATGCCTGCCTTTTTACATGGGTGTTAGAGACCCAAACTCAGGCCCTCATGTTAGTGCAGTAAGTGTTCTCACCACTGAGCCATCTCTCTAAACCCTAGCAGTAGTTTCTTATTAAAGTCAGGGAACGACTCACAGGCAAAGGAGTTGTAGATACATAGATTACTGGGACCATAAAAGAGGTCCCAATGCTGCAGATTTGAAGTTCAGTCAAGGAGCCTACCTAGTACTAGATTTCCCAGTCACTGGGAAACTCCTCAGCACTAAAGTCAGAGCTACTGAATCACTGTCTGCAACTAGAGATATTGAAGACATCACCTGAAAGAGCCTTGAGCTGAGAATCCAAGTCCAAGTCAGAGGTCGGTAATGTTCACTTGGGCCTAGATCTTGTGCCTGGCATGGAAATATAATAACATCCTGTGAGAAAGCAGAATCAAGTTCACTTTGTCAGAAAGGGACAGGATTGAACTTTTTTTCAGTGCTGGTGACTGAACAGGGCCTCATATGTGCTAGGCATACATTCTACCACTGAGCTACAGGGGTAGCCAAGTCCCCCACCTCGATGAGCCTCAGCCTGGCTCCAGCCAATGTTTAAACCTCCACCCATGCACTCTGAGCTCACCTGTAGTTGGTCCTTCCAGTCAAGGTCTCTGACTCTTTGCTCTTCCCAGGTCAATCATTTCAGATGCCACCTCTGTATCCCTGGGCTAATCTGTTATCTTTATTCCCATAGGCTCTTTTCACATCTTTATTATGTGCTAATTTTGCGTTATTGTGCTTTGTTGACATCCCCCCCCGCCCCCCACAGACTAAACTCAAGCATCCTGCAACCTGGAGAGATAGGTATTGATTTTCTCTGTTTGGTGATTAAAAAAAAAAAAAAAAAACCAAAAAACTACTGTGAAGCAATTGAGCTTAGACAGGCAAAAGAACATCCGGTTGAGAGCCACAGAAGCCACCTGCTGCTGCTGCTACTGTGCTGGAGAACCTCAGGCAAGTGGCTTAGCTTGTTTGGGCTTCAGTTTCCCACACAGTACTATAGGGGCAGTGATAAGCAGGAACTGTCCTGGTGGGCTCAGTGGGTTCAAAGAATTAAGCACCCAGAAGACAGTCTGGCCCAGGAAGTGCTATTTAAAGGTTTATTAAGTAAAGTCTTGTCATTGTAATTCAAACTCAGGACTTCAGGTGCCAAAGCTCCTAACTAGCCTGCATTTTAGCTTTGTAGGAGCCTACATTTTCCTGAGAAGTACAGGTTGTACTAGAGGAGCAAGGAAAGAAAGCTGGTTTGGAGCAGACCTCATGATGAGAGAGGAAGCCAAACTCCAGGCAACTGTGGAATCAATGTGTGGGCCTGGTAAAGGAGGGTGCCCAGCTCTCTGCACAATGGTCTAGGGCAAACAGTGACATACTCAGGCCAAGACCACCAATGGTGACTCTGGGGCTTGCCTCCCTTGAAGTCTTTCTCTGGAGTCAGTTCCGGGTTTTATTTAAGCCTCTACGATAGCTTGCTTACAATGACTGTGCTTGTGCATCTATGATTCTTCAAGATGGTGCCTTGACAAATGGAAAGGGTCAATGAGGGCTGGTGAGATAGCTCAGTGGGTAGAGGTGCATGCATGCAAGCCTGACTTCCTGAGTTCAATCCCTGGATCCTATAAAGTGGCAGGAAAGAAGCAGCTCCAGAGATTTATCTACAAACACACCATGGCAGGCACACACGTGCACACACATGTGCACACACATCAATCAATCAATCAGTCAATAATGTAGTTTTTTAAAAAGGGTTAATGATCATTTTGCTGAAGATGGTGCTCTTGACTGATTATCTTTTATATCTTAATATGAGTTGTCCTATAATGGGGATTGGCAGTAAAGTTTGTATTTCCAAGGCAAGGATCATTTTATTTTTATTTAATATTGGTTATAGCCAGGTGTAATGGTACATGTCTATAATGCTAGGCCTCGGAGGAAGTAACAGGAGGATTTCAAGTTCAAGACCAGCCTGGACTACACAAGCAGATTCTGTCTAAAAAACAATTACAGAGCAATAACACTATTGTTGATATGGTTAAAGATGTAGGCTGAACTGTGGTTGTTGTTAGATGAAGACAAGACAGCTATTAGTTGAATAAGAACAATAAAAGTTTTTTTTGTTTTGGACCATGGGTAAATACTGTTTGTCTACAAGTGTGAGTTTCTCAGTGATTGGTCTTGTGGAATATTAACTACTAATACTTCAGAACACAAAATCGTGATCACTGAGGAATCATGTAAAATAGCCATTTTTAGACTTTAGAGTATGAGTCAGAATCATCCTCAGGGCCTGTTACAGGAGAGACCACTAGGCCCATGCAGTATCTTCTTCTGTATGTTGAAGGTGGGGCCTTGGATCTGTGGTTATATCAAGCTCCCAGGTGATGCTGATAACCACTGGCTCAGGGACGGCAGCTTGAAAACTGCTGAGTTAGAGCCAACATCCCCTTCCCAGAAGCACCTTGTGGCCACCTAGGCTGGGTTGCAATATAATTGCATTTATTTTAAATAGGTCACCTGAAGCAATCAGATTTCCCAATCACTTTCAGCATTTTACAGGCCAAGAGAGACATTGCTTCTAGAAGAAAAAAAGCCTCAGCTCACGGAGACATTAGAGGACTTTCAAACTAATTAAATGTAGCTTTAACTGCATGTTTCTGATATCTTGATAATTAAACACATTTAGGCTTGCTGGTGTTTGCCAACAGTTTTATGAAATAATTGAAAGTACATCCTTCACTGAGGTCTGTTATTCTCTGGGACACACTTGGACTAGCGGGTTGAGAGATGGCCAGCAGGTGGCGCTTGGAGTCAGTTCATGGCCCAGATGGGGCTAGCTCACAAGCCAAGGTGCCTGCTTTAAATCCTCAAAATAAGGTCCTCTTAACCACTTGTCATAAAACACCCTGAGACACACATCTTGGAAAATCGAAATGTCAAGCTCAGCATCTTTGCCACATTTCAAACTAGGTAATTACCTTCTCTCCCAAAGGGAATCTGTTTTATGTATTTGTGTGCTTTCTAGGTTACAAGTTTCCCAAAGGCAATGATCTTGCTGCTTTCCACTCGCTCCACACAATGCCGAAGCAAAATGCACATTTTACAATAACAATTTAATTATTCTACATCCCTCTGAGCTACGTGATGACCTGTTATAAAATTGTCGGTAATATAGAAACCTGTATAAGCCTCATATAAACCCTTGCAATAAATGGAAGATTTTATTTGACCTAGAAATAAATTGCTTATTTACTTCACCTTTCCAAGGAAAAAGAGCAAACCACTTCCCTGGTCTTTCACAGTATAAGTCATTATCAAATCAGCAAATTTTAGTTTTGTCATTTTTATTAAGTCTTCAGTCAGTTTTTTTTTTTACACAACACAACAAATACTTTTGATATAATCTAAGATAATAAAATAGTTGAACGACTTTGACTCTATTCTTTTAGATTTACATTTGTATAGAAACAATCTGTGGAACTCCTCACCTCAAAATGAAGGTGTCTAAAAACAGTGATTCATCAACATTGCTTTAAATATTTGATTGGTTAAAAGACGTGTTTTTCATTCCCACTGAAATGTGTCTCCATGCAGCTTGCCTTGAGTTCAAAACTTAAGGCCTTAGGAAGGCGACCAAGAAAAGAATGACTACTCTCTTCTCCTTCCTTCCCTAGTATGGAGGACAGTAATTGGAACAAGGTTGTTACCAAAGCCAGGAAGAAATCAATTGCACATCTCTAGTTCATAAATACTAAGGTCACAGGAGTCTTTACCCACTACCTCCTATGTGGGAATCCCATCATGATGGTACAGTGCATGCTGGTCCCCAAATGTTTCTTCCACTAATCAAGCCATTGCTAAGTATAAGCTGTGACTGTAAGTTCTCTCTGCTATGGCTGGTTCTTTTGTCACTGAGGTCTTGGCCTTTGCAATATATCATTTAGATGCTGTGTCTTGGTGCCCGATGCTTCCATTATCCCCTAAGAAATGCCTTACCCCACCCTCAAGTCCCCAAGGTGCCTAAAAGTGAAGACTCCACTATAGTGTCTTCAGTGAACACCTCCCCAAAGGTGTCTGGGACTCTGGCCTAGATCATCCCATTGATCTTAGTCCACTCATAGATGTCCTGTTCACACACTATGTCGGAGTTGATGAGAAGGTATCTGTCACCTACACAGAAATGCTTCTGACAGGCAGCACACTTGAAACACTCCAAATGATACACTTTGTCTTTCACCCGCATCGTCATCTCATAGGCACGGATCCGCTTGTCACAGGACGCACAGAGACCATCTTGACCAAAAAGCCTGAGCAAAAAGAAAGAAAAGCTAAGATCCAAACACTGGAAGGAAGAAGAAGCTGGAGCTGGTCATGTACAGTGATGCACATCTGTAATCCCAGCACTCAGGAGGCTGAGGCAGGAGGATGGCTAATTCCAAAAGGCATGAGATACACAGCAAGATGCCATCTCAAAATCAAAAACAAAGACTAAAAAAAAGCCAAGCCCAGATGATGTTCTTGAATCTTTCCTTGAAGGCAGAGAGAGAAGGCTGGGTGATGCTGCAGCATTTTACTTGCCGTTATTCCTCCCTTCCTGTGCCTGTCCCTGCTTTCAGCAATGCCTCTAGGCTGCCCCAGCCAGCCATGGAAGAGACCCTGGGGAAGTGACTTGGAGAGGAAGTTAGGCATACATTGTGTGCTCTTTCCCAGAGGAAATTTCACTGCAGAGGAGGAGCTGGAGTCAACCCTTAGAGGGGCAACTCACCAGAAATGCAACAGAATGGGCATTGTTATGAGGCTTCCAATCCTACCACATCAACAACCACTAATTCCACCCATGGGAAGCTGGGCCTTTAGTCACCCCCTCCCACCCCAAGCTGCAAAACCTGTCTCCACATGACCATTCACTGGAGCCCCAGCTTCCAGGAGACGGGGAATAAATGCCCCAGGAGACATGAGATACCATTAATCATGCCTCAGAGACTCAGGACAAGTAGCATCTCTCCGTGATGCATGGAAGAGTTTCATTCATGCTCCTCCAGCCCCCTTGCCATGACTCTCTCAGGGAGACCGTTCTTCTCACATCTAAATCAAGTCTTTCCCCAGCCCCAGTGGATTAGCCACTTAATATTTAGAGTTAGGGTTGTAGAGGCAACTTGCAGTGGTTCTGAGACTGTTTCAGGGACTAGCAGCATTAATATTGCAGAGGAACAAATTCCCAACCATCCTCCCACCTGATGGAGACACAGGGGAGAAGGCTCAGTAGACTGTGTGCTAATGATTATGATGGTTTGAAAATGAGCCTACCAGAACAGAAGATCACAAAGAACTAGAAGACACAGCTTCAAAGTCTAGTCCAGCCCTGAGACCCTGAGGGACTCTGGTTCGGCCTTTGATGTCTCTGAGCTGCCATAGTATCTACCTCATTCAAATGTTAACAGCATCACTCAGAGTATGCCAGCACACCAAAGGTCAAGGACTGAGCCAACACTATGTGAACACATCTCGAGTGTGCTCTCAACTGCTCCAGTGTTGCTACAGGGTCAGTGGGGCTTGTCATGTTAGTATGTGGCTTCTATGCAAAACCTTATGACCATTTCTGGTAAATGCTTGTTCTTACTAGATGTTCTTGTCAACTTAAGAAAATGAGAGAATCAATTGGTATATACTGAGAGGTTGTAGGGGAGGAAAGAGCAGCTGTCAAAGTTTGGAATATTTGGGCAGAATGAAAGGTGTGTAAGAGGGGTCTGTGGTATGGAGTTCTTTGTTAGCAGGGCTCGAAGCTCATTTTCCTCTGAATCCTGCTTTCCATTCTATTTCCAAGCATTTTCTGAGCGCTGGCTGGAAGCAGTCTCATTAGTGGAGAAGAACACTACATCCCACCGGAGCAGATGGTGGAGCTGTAGGTAACCGCCACATTGGAGGTCACAGAGTGGAAAGATTTCTGCTGTCCTGACTGTTCAGTAAGTTAAGTTTGGAGCTCAGCAAAGACACACAACTGAGAAGACAGTATGCACAGAATGGATCCAGCTGCCTGGGGTATGAGATCCTTAAGGAAGAAGGGAGCTTATTAAAGGGAAGTCAGGGGGTAAATTACAACCATCAGGCAGCTAATGAAGGGGAGAATAAAGGACTAAGATTTGGGAGGCAAGTTCAGGTCTCAGCATCACCTCTAACCAGCAAGTTGACCTAAATAAGTGTCATGCCTTCTCCAGGTCTCTGTGTCTTATATTATAAAGCAGAGGGCCTGCAAGCAAAGGTCCCTGCAGCCTCTTCCAACTCTGGTAATCTGAGATACTAATAGTAGTAAAAGACTAAGCCAAGATTTGACACTTTGCATGCACATTAACCTCTGGCACAGAGAATTCATGTCTTGGGCTGGATATCCCAGAAGCAGACCTGAGAAGAAGATGTATATTTGAGTGGTTTATGGTGTCTTCAGGGGAAGTGGATGGGAGAGAAGGAAGCTAAGCCAATGGGAATTTTGGACAGACAGTCTCAGAGGGAGCTGTGGCCTGATGCTTGGGGACCCTGGAGTGTAAGTCTGGTCTCCATGGGGCCTTGGCTCCCACCTTGAGACTGCAGAGCTTTGGGTCTCCTGCCTTGTAAGTCCTTGGCACTACAGTCTGGTAAGGCTGCATATTTCTGGTTCTGATGGGTGCTGGCTAGATGTAGGTGCCAGCTATTGAAAGCAGAACCATAGGCAAGTGGAGATTGCCTACATAATTTCCATCTGATTTCTGGATCCAAGGGAATCTGGACTGGGCACTGACATTAAGAACTGCTGTTAGGTTCTGGGCAATACAATATAACAAGAGCAGGCTTGGGTTCTACATGGAATAGGGGCCTTCATGAATATTTGAGGCTGAATGTCTCAAAAGGGCTATAAGATGACAATCATTCAAGATCCTCATGGGGAGAATTTGTTCTTGGGGAAAGGGGCTGGGCCCTACCAGAGGACCCACTGAGTCACTCCAACTTGTCCTGTTTAAAACACAGCACCAGATATGCCAAAGAATGGAAGTAAACAAGTCCATAGCTAAAGGACCATCCCTGAAGCAAAAAAACCAATTTCCCTCCTCTGTCAAGAGGTGTCACGCCTTAAGCTTTCTGCTGCCCATTTTAATAACAATAATGTAAATATTAAAGGATGGCTGGGAACGCCTGCACTAACACAGAGTTAATTAACATGTTGCCTGGAATGTAGCAGGGAGAAGAATTATTTCGTGTCACCAAGACACAAGTTAATTAACACTGGGTTCTCCCAGACTATTTTTTTTTCTCTCCTTTTTGAAAATGGAAAAGATTAACAAGCCCAGGCAGCACTGGCTTTCTTCTTGAATGTTATATAAAACCGTGGAGATAGGAAGAAATCGGCTCTTTTGACCTTACTGTATCTGACTTCATTTAATAAGATTCAAATGATTCGACAGGGATGTAGTCAGGGCCCAGTGGGAATCATTTACCCGTCTGCTTTCTGACTGATTTGGCAGACCAAGAACGAACAAAACCAGGTCTGTGTTTATCCAGGCTCTATTTTCTTGTGGCTTAAAAAAGAAAGAAAATTTAACAAAATGACAGTCATGATCATTAAAAGACCCTACTTGCCTTTTTTCCCCTAGAACGTAAATTTTCAAGGATTTTATTAAAAAATTTAGGACAGTAAAAGCTAATTCAATCTTTGGGTAAATAGATGAGCTTCCCTCAACTGTAGAATCACCTGCAGCTTTATATTTATTTCATATGTGCAAAGCTCCGAGGGCAGATTTGGAAGGAAGAGAGGCCCTAGCAGTTAAGGGCACTAAAGTCTAAGCTAGCAGCTTCCATGGTCTGGATGGTCCTAATGTATTGGGCTGCATGCTCCATGGACCCTCAGCCTCAGGAAGATGACGGAGAACTGACAACTACACAGCTCAGTGGATCTGACAGTAGAGGGCCCAGAGTTAACCTCCACCACAGCTAATATGAAGCTAAAGATGCTAGAACATGCCAGGTAGACACTCGTAGAGTGCCAGGACACTCACTTGAACAATGGTGTTCCTCAGGACAACAGAAATGTCCTTGGTTCCTGGCTCACTTGGCATTGTACACTCTCTATTCTACCCTTCTATTCTTCCATTCCCTTGTCCATTACATTGGAAAATGATGTGTGACATTGGCATGATCCATGTCAGTTATAAAAACAGCTAAATTTGATACCCATGTGTCAAGCCAAGTACTTGACATATACTATTCTATCCAGTCCTTACAATTACTATCCCCATTTTACAGACAGGAAATGGAAGCTTATGGACCTTGCCCAAGGCCAAAAAACTATGAAGCAATGGAACTGGGACTTCAGGGTCTTCACACTTATGGTCACTGAATACCATCTTTCTACTATGAGAGTCAATGCTTGGAGCTCAACAGCAAGAATATGCTTTTTATTTTTATTTATTTACTTATTTTTATTTAATGAGTATGAGTGTTTTGCCTACATGTATATAAGTGCACCATGTGCATGCAGTGCTCTTGGAGGCCAGAAGAGGGCATCAGATTCCCTGGAACTGGAGTTAAGGATGTTTGTAAGCCACCATGTGGGTGCTGGGAACTGAATCTGGGTCCCCTGCAAGAGCAGGCAGTACTCTTAATTGCTGAGCACTCCATCTCCCTAGCCTCATGCTTACTATTTCTAAATTTCTCATCACATAATGTTGAAGCCATACAAAAGAATATTTACAACATGTGTGTATTGAAACATTAATGTGAGATCTTAAGAACTGACTCCCATACTTATAAATGAACCCCAGTTTCCATGATGTTTCCCTATGTATACCTCTCTCACGCTAACCTTTGGTCTATGCCTCCACCCTCCCTATTCTGACTTTGTGTTTATTCTTCTCTTGCTTTTAAAGACATGAGTGTTTTACCACCCAGGAACGTGTCCTTGAGAACATGACTACAGTTTGTTTGTAGGGACAGCCAATGCTTGCCCTCCATAGCCTAGTCTCCCTGGGCAGAGCCCAAGAGGCAGAGCTAGGCAGAGTTACCTCCACCACAGACATGCCCCAGGGGTGTGAGGAAGGTACCTGAGATAGTCTCTCCTGCACAGCTTCCGCCCCAACTTGTAGTAGAGGCGCCGCCCCACTTCACCCAACCTGCACCCACAGAGGTCACAGCTGAGGCAATCCTCATGCCAGTACTGGTCGATGGCTTTCAGGAAGTAGCGGTCCCCAATGTTCTGCTGGCAGCCACCACATGTCAGCAGGGATGGAGGTATCTGCAGCACCTCATCCACTGGTTCCCTGGGGGAGGAAACAAAAACATCAGCTTCCAGCTCACTGAGGAGATAAACACCAGGAAACACTCTGGGCCAAACAGGGATCCTCACTCCACTTCCTTTCAGGAATATTCGGGGAAGGGACTGGACAGCACCTCCATATTGCAGACTGCAGATACTCAGACAACTGGGATAAAGATGAGAGAGCTAGACCTTACCATCTGAAAACTAGAAGATAAAGCAACAAGAGGTATCCAAGGTGCCTGCGGGTGATGCTGAACTCCTACCCACAGACCAGCACCATCACATAGCCTCTGGTCTCCCTTCTGCTTCTGCCACACACACCCCACCACTCTCCTCTGTCTTTCCAGTCCTCCATCTTTTCTATTTTGGAAACCAGGATCCAGGTACTGCCAAACCCCACAGGACACACTTGGGACCAAAAGGGTCAAAGCACCCAGAGTGCTAAAAATCTATAGATATTCTATTGAATGCCCCCTACTGAAGCCCTTCCCAATGCACAGAGCAAAGGCAAAGAGAGGAAAAAACAATCAAAATTACATTAAGTTCCTTCCTCTTTCCAAAATAAAAATTCCATCAAGATCTAACTCTTTTTAAACAGAAATTCTGTATCAAATCCTACTTTCTGAGTGAATCTTTGACTGGAGATTTAGCTCAGTGGGCAGAGGCATAACCTAGCATATCAGAGGCCCAGAGTTTAATTCCCCAGTATCGTTTAAAATGAGGCTATAATTCTAGCCAGTTCATAGGTGGAAACTGGAGGGTCAGGACTTCAAAGTCATCCTCAGCCAGCTTGCCAGCTTGAGGCCCTGGGCTACCGTAGACCCTGTCCCAAAACAACAAAAGAAATATTAGATCTGAATGAATCCTTAGAGAGAAATCCAGATACTAAAGTCATTGTTAAATAGAGGACATCAGTTAGATTTTTCTTCACATAATTTTTTTCCCCGAATAGCAAAAGTAGTTTGAATAAAGTTAAATTAGTAAGGAAAGTGGGGAGGGGGCTAAAACGATCTTAAAGAGAGTGGAAGGCAATGAAATTGATACTAAAATCTCAGTCCAGCAATTCCTTCACAGTGAGTCTGAGGTATGTGTTCTTTCATTAAAAAGTTATACATAGGAGGCTGGAGAGATGGCTCAGTGGTAAAAGCACTGGCTGCTCTTGCAGAGGAACCAGGTTCGATTCCCAGCACCCACATGGCAGCTAATAACTGTTTGTAACTCCAGTTCCAGGGGACTCCAACGCCCTCCTCTGACCTTCCACAGGCATTGCATGATACAGGTGCACTTACAAACATGCAGGAAATATACTCATATACATAAAACTGAAAAATAGTAAAAAAATAAATAAACAAACAAATAAATAAAAAGTTATACATAGGGGGCTGGCAAGATGGTACAGCAGGTAAGGGCACTTACCACCAAGCCTGATGATCTGAATTAGATTCCTGGGACCCACAGAGTGAAAGGAAAGCCAAATCCACCAGGTTGTCATCTGACTTCCACATGTGCACCACCACCACCACCACCACCACCACCACCACACACACACACACACACACACCCATGTCAATTCCTTTAAATAAAGGAAAAATGTTTTTAGGTTACACATAGAGCCTTCTACTTACTTTGCCTCATTGGAACCACGAATGCTTTTGTTTTACATTCTCTTTGCTAAGAGAAAATGGGAGTGGAAGAAATGATTGTGACATCAGTGACAGGGAACACTTAATGATGATTTGTAATAATTAACTAGTGCTCTTTGTAACCTTTGTAGAGACAGGGTCTCACTATGTAGCCCTGGCTGGCTAGGAACTCTCTATGCAGACCGGGCTAGCCTCAAACTCACAGAGATCTTCCTGCCCCTGCCTCCAAAGTGCCAGGATTAAAGGCATGCATTACCATGCCTGACCCCAAATCTACTTCTTAAAAATTCTAGTTTTTTTAAAAAATGGACCTTCTTCCTATACTGTGAAATGCCCACAGGGAGTTTCCTCTTGGGTACCCTGGGGTTATAAATCTGGGCCTTTTATTTTTATTTGGCACTCTTACCAAGTGACCTTGTGGCCTAATTGGCCTCAACCCACAAAGCTCAGCCCCATTATAATTAAGGACAGTGAGACTCAGGGAATCAGTGTTTATAGCACACTCTGACAACTTCAGATGGCTATCTAGGAAAGTATTAAGCATTCCTTATGAATATTTAGGAATGCTAAAGTCAAATCCACAGTTTTCAGATAGCGTCTAAGATTACCTGTTCTCAGAACAAGAAAATTTGAGGCTCAGGCCAACTTCTTAATGAAAAAAAAAAATCAAGTTTTAGTTGTGGGCTTTTTGTTGTTGTTGGTTTTTACCGTGATAAAGATCAAACCCAGGGCCCCATTCATGCTAACTAAGCAAGGGCTCTACCACTGAGCTTTAGTCCTCTGTTCCTTTTATTTATGTTTTGAGTCAGGGTCTTATTTTATTTTTAAATTGTGTATGTGTGAATGCACACATGCATGTTTGTGTGGATCAGAGGAAAAGTTGCAGGAGTTGAGGGGTGTGTGTGTGTGTGTGTGTGTGTGTGTGTGTGTGAGAGAGAGAGAGAGAGAGAGAGAGAGAGAGAGAGAGGAGAGAGAGAGAGATCAGAGGACAACTTGGAGACGGTTCTCTACTTCTACCATGTGGATTTTGGATATTGAATTCAGGTCATTAGGCTTGGTAGCAAGTATCTTTATCACCTGAGCCATCTCTCTAGTCCTTATTTATTATTTATTTATTTGTTTGTTTGTTTGTTTATTTGTTTATTTATTTAAGAAAGGATCTCACTAAATTGCACAGGCTGGCAATTAGCTCCCATGTAGCTGGAATTATAGGTGAGAACCAGTATGTCCAACTAAGACCTTAAACAATTTTAACAATTCATCAGAGTCTTTGCTTCTATACTATATATTTAAGAGCTTCCACCCTCCTTTCTGAAAGTTACCTAATATCCTTAACCTTTTCAAGTGTATCTTTTCTTTTTACAAAGCCCAAGGTCTTACTTTGGGCTTTCAAAAACATTCCTGGAACCTAGACCATACTAGATGCTCAGGTGCTGATGTTGCTACCAACCAACTGCAAAAGAGAATTTGCACTTAGCTGGTACAAAACTGCCCAGAATTAAAATGAACTGTTCTTGTTACTCACAGGAAGGCAGGAGGGCCACCAATTACATGGCTTCCCTGTGTGATTGCATATGCCGAGGCAAGGATCGACCTGTATTCTGAGAAGTGACCGTAAGGCCCAAGTTGGCGTTAAGCAAACACACAGTGAAGCAGCTGGTAGGAGAGTAAGTCACAGTAGAAAGAGATGTGATGGCCCGAGAGCAGATAGAGAACAGGATAAGATACTGGCTCCATCTATCCTTCCATAATTAATGATAATGTGACATTATCTCTGGTGAACAATCCAAGCCAATGACTGAGAAGGATTCACCTCAAGTTAATATTTGATATTCTCCCACCAGTCTATTGGGGATGTAACATCTGGGTATCTCTTCAGCCTGGGTTTCTGGCAAAAATTCTCAACAATTTCCCAGAAAGAGGGGGAAATGTGCTACAGGCATTTTCCACCTAGCCTGTCCATTTTCAGTTAGAGCTTGCCTTCATTTGGGTGAAGGGGAAAGAGGAAAAGGGAAAGGTGGGCTATGAGGAAACTTCCCAGAGTAGGTGCTCACTGTTAGAACCTTAAGATACTTTTGGTTTTCTAGTCCCTCAGGGAAAAAGAAGCACAGACTTTGGAAGGAGCAAACTTACTTTCAAAGAACTGAACCCTTGGGCTGAAGAGATGGCTCAGCAGTTAAATGCACTTACTGTTCTTCCCTCTTAAGTCTGATTCCCAGCATTTGGGCTCACAACCACCTGGAACTCCAGCTTCAGGGGTCTGTCTGGTCACCTCTGACCTCTAAGAGAACCTGCACTAATGTGCACATATCCACACCCACATAATTAAAAATAAATGTAAAATCTTTTTTTTTTTTTTTAATTTTTTAACAAATGAAACCAAACCCCCCAGATTTACCTTCTAATAAAGGATTGGTGACTAAGTAGTGCTGATAGGAAAAGCATTAGGCACCAACTGATAGATTCCCATACTGGGTCTTACCCAATCTTCGAAAAGTTAGGGCTCAGTTGTAATTTTCTGTTTATTTTTTAAAGTGAACAAACCATGCTTTAAGCCCATCACTTGCATTGACATCTACTTTTTTTTTTTAGGAGTTATTATTTTTCTTCTGAGAGTTGAAGGAAGCTGGGTTCTTATTACAACAAACCTAACTCCTTACAGAGCTGGCATCTTAACCTTCAAGACTGGAGTGATGTTTATATTCACATTGGATCGTGGTACTTCCCGTGTTTTATGAGAACATGCTGGGTTTTTATGCTGCTGACTGAGGGTAAAACCCAAGTAAATAAACACCACAGAAGGCTGAAATTGAAGGGGGGAGGAGAGTGGGGGAACTTTCAGCAGGAAAGCACAATTCTTTTAAAACAGGAAAAGGAAAAAAAAATGCCTCTTAAAAGCACAAAAGGACAAGTCATTAACCAGCTCCTTTGGTCTTGTGTTAACAAATCCCTTCAAAGGATTAGATGGGGACTTCAAAGGAATAAGAATTCAAAACCAGACAGCTAATGACTCTTAAAAGGGCATTTGCGTGGACCGAGAAAATGATACCTTAAACATCCTTGCTCCCCGCGTTAAGGCAAGAGAATAGGTTGGGATATATGCTGGGCATGGGGAGTGCTCTTTCCAATCCAGCGCAAAGCTCAGAGTTCAGACAGTTCCTGCTCATTAGAGCTCTGCCTCCCAGACCTCAAGCCCCTTTGAGAGGAAGATGAAAGCTCCCCAGAAAAACACCTATACACAACGTTGGGCCCTAACTTTCGAGGTTCACAGGCCCACACTGGAGGATTCAGGGGAGGGATGAACAGTACCCCGAGGAACACCGGATTAGCTATTCTAGAAATCTCTGGAGGCCAGAACTAGCTCCAAGGGGGACAGGTGGACCCCTTCACCCGCCGGCCCCTTGCCTTGCCGGCAGCCGCTTCACCTGGGGCCAGGTTGGAGGCCGTCGGGGACTCCAGAGGCATCCTCTCGGAATGCCCCCCTTCCCAGGACCAAATGGACAAAGGGAAGGAGTCCAGAGGCAGCGAGGGAGAAGGGTCAGACAGGGCCCCGCATGCCGCCCGCACTGCACCTGCGCCTCCGGGTGCCTGCTCCTGGCCAAACTTTCTGGCCGGGGTGAAGATTTGGGGAGCGGCCCGGAGAGGCGCCGATTCGATCCCTTTCTGATGCCCGCAGCTGGGTCCCTCACGCTGTCCCCAGAGTCACCCTCGAGGCAGGGGGGTCCAAGGGCACGCTGCGGGCGCGCACCTGGAGCCCCTCAATCCGGCCCGGGGACCCCGTGGGGGTGCAGGAACAGGAGCGCCGCACTTACTCGGACGGATCCAGGCTCTTCCTCTCGATGGCAGAGGACATTGGGGAGGGAGGCGGCGTGCCGGGCGGCGGGGGCGCTCCCTTTGTGGCGCGTGGCTGGCCGGCTGCTGGGGCTCGGACCCCCTCGGGTGCTCCGGCGCCGCCGCTCCTGCGCCTCCTCTTGCTCTGGCGCTCCGGCGAGCTCGCCCCTCTGCGCTCAAGGACAGTCACCGCGCTCCCTTCAAATGCCAAAGAGAGAGAGCGAATCACCCGGCTGCGGGGCGCACCGCGGCCGAGGCGGGGAAGCCGGGGAGCAGCCTGGCCCCGGGCTGCTGCTGCAGCTGCCGCTGCTCCGGACTTAACCTTCCATCCCAGTCCCGCCGCTGTCACCGCCGCCGCCGTTGCCGCCGCCTCCGCCGCCGGGTCGGATCACCGTCCTGATCGCGCGCTGCAGCCGGCTCCGCCCGGAGCCCCTGGCACCTTCGCTGGGGTCTGGGCGCCGCTGCTCCGCGCGGAGGGCAGAGAGGGGGCGGCGGCCTGGGGGCGGGGAGCGGACCGGCGGCTCTCCCCGGGCTCCCTCCTCTCTCGGGAAGGTCTATTTTCACTCAGCTTCCCTCTGTCTCTGGTTTCATTTCCTTTTTCCTGATCACGATTCAAATACAATAGAAGGAAATCACATTTAAAGAGACAGCTGCCCGCCCCCTCCCCTTTTTTCTTCCTTTTTTTTTTTTTTTAAACGGGGCTCCTGGGGATTAGCAATACAAACAGCAGCCGCAGCAGGACAGACTTGGGTTCTTAAAGGGGCCAGCATCGGAGACCAAGAGTCTCCCTGAGAGCACCTCACCTTGGGATTGAGCCGCGCTACCACCAGATAATTCTTTTAGGGGGTGCCCCCTCTTCCGCCTTTCCCTTTTCGTTTCAGGCTGAAAGTAGCCACCCAGCCGCTCTGGCAAGAAAGAAAGCAGAAATGTGAGATACGCACCTACAGAAACGCAGGCTTCGCTAGCGGCTGGCTCGCGCGCGCGTCTCGAGTTCGAGGTCCCACGTCCCCGACGGTGCGCTCGGATGCTCTGTACCGCGGGCTCTGCGGGCTGCGAGCTTGTGGCTGCGTCCGCGCTCCAGAGAGATCAGGGACCGCACGCGCTGGGTACGCCTGAGCAGTGCTGGGGGCAGCTAATCCCACGGGGAGGGTGGCTGGGAGGGACCACGCCGGTCCTGGTCTCCTCTCTATCTGCTGGCCACAGAATTCCCTCCCTCAGCATCTTTCAAAGAACGGACTCCTGCGGTTAGGCTGGCCCTCGGTAATGTGCCAGTAATTCCAGGACCAGAGAAAGTGTCTTTGCAACCATCCAGGACTTTACAGTTATTATTATTTTGCTCTGGGTCAGGCAAAGAGAAAGAAGGCAGACTGGGGACTTAGGTTTCTCCTTCAAGCTGGAAGGAAACTTCTAGAAGGAGAAAGGAAAGCAGGAGGGATAGACGGACTCTAGCAAGCTACTTTTCCAGATAAAAACTTAGATTCCTGTGGGCCCACGGACCTCAAGTTCCCTCAAAATGTCTGAGTTCAGAAACTATTACTCAAGGTCCATTAGCTCATAATGCCGGTCATCAGGCCTGTAAAGGCAAGCGCCCAAGTACTTTCAGAATCCATTGTTTTATAAGAAAAGCCTGGATCAAGGCCACAAGGTATTTCATTCCCATTTTAAAGTTGCTGCAGAGTAGCCTGGGTGAGCTCACCCAGAAAAGATAGTTGAAGTTCTGACTTCATAGATGCTAGTTAATTCCTAGATGCTTATTTTTCCTGCACCGAGCCAAATCCTCAATGACTCCCCGCTAGTAATAATGTGAGTTAATTACTGTCATTTGTTTCTCTTAGTGTCCTAAAGTTTATGTACCTAAAAGAGATCATTAAAATCTGTGTGTATGCCCCTGTGTTAGTCCAAACCTACCTTCAATGTATAAAAAGGCATTTTCCTGATTAGGACATTTTTTAATTAAAAAACAAAAAATCTCTAAGATGTTTAGACAAGCCTACGTTATGTGATAAATGTGTCATCTCTAACTACTTTCATTTCTCTCAGAAATGAAAATAAACTGGTCGAGATGGTGCAGGCATTGGAGAGGTGGAGGCCGGATTTCAAGGTCATGGTCCTCCACTATGCAGAGAGTTAGAGGCCCTGCCTGGGCTACATGAGACCCTGTCTCAAAAGTAAAATCAAAAGAAGAAGAAAATATATGGGTTGTGATTAGCAGTTTATCGGCTGAGTAAGGATGTCTTAATGCTGGAACTTGGGAACCAGATTGCCTGGGCTTGATTTAGGTTCTTATCAACTAGTGTAACTGGGAAAACTGCCCTGGAGAGACAGTCTGGGTAGTGTGACCCAGGACTCTGACTGCCTGTGTTCTAACCCACCCTTTGCCACCTGTGTGAACTGGGTTTGACAGCAGGAGTTTAAACTTCCAGTATCCTCATAAGTAAAAATGGGAATAATGGAACTTACTACATAGGTGGACGTAAGGATGGACTTAGTTCATGCATGCAAAGTGTAGCACGTAGATGTGTGATGGAATGGAGCAATAACTGATGAGAAATTGATTGCATAGGAATGCATGGAGTGCCCCTATATTACATAGCAGAACTATGCTGTAGCAAAGGACATCATTGAGATAATTTAAAGCAAGTTTGAAATTAAATTTAAATGTGAAATGGGAGGCAGGCATGGTGGAGCATGCCTTTAATCCTACCCAACACTTGGGAGGCAGAGGCAGGTAGATCTCTGTGAGACTGAGGCTAGCCTGGTCTATATAGTGAGTTCTAGGTCTTCTGGGGCTACAGGGAGACTCCAAAAAAAAAAAAAAAATCAAAAAAGGAAAAAAAAATGAAATAGGGAGTCAAAGTAGGATTTTTTCTATTCAAATAAAAAATTATTCCCTTTTCAGGGCTGGAGAGATGGCTCAGCGGTTAAGAACACTGGTTGTTCTTGCAGAAGACCCGGGTTCGAATCCCAGCACCCACATGACAGCTATCAACTGGCCATAACTCCAGTCCCAGGGGATGCGACAGCCTCTTCTGACCTCCTCAGACATTGCATGACACAGGTGCACTTACCTACATCAGGCAAGACACACATATACATAAAATAAAAATAATAAATAAAAATTTTAAAAAGTATTCCCTTTTTTAAAAAAAAAGCAGAGTAAAGTACTTTTCCTCATACTCTACTGCTCCTAAACAAGTGAATATACCTTTTCCTTTTTAATGTTCATTATCTTGGTGAGTAGTGCTTTTACTAAACCTGGTAAGTTACCATTTTCCTTTCTTCAATTTTCCATGGGGCTGCAGTCAGTTGTTATAACAAAGATTTCCTTGGGTTCTGAGAGGTAACCTCCGAATTGCCAACTCCGGGGCATAAACTTTCCTTCTAATAATATGCTTCTTATTTGACATGAATGTGAAAAGGGGGGGGAGAGAGAGAGAGAGAGAGAGAGAGAGAGAGAGAGAGAGCACTGCACGGGACTTTGGGTCAATTTCTTATCTTTCACAACTCTTTGGGGAGAGCTTCCTTTGAGAAGGTGCATATTTGAAATGGTATCTTAAGATTTCAATTTCACACACAGTGGCTGTAAGAAATAACTGCCTACTGCTGGGATTTTATTTCTATTCAACGGGCAATTAAATCGCTCAAATTTAGAATCAAGTCTCAAAATGTGTTTTTATTATGAATAATTTTAAAGCAATCATGACCTTATTGCCCTCCCATAGCACCAATATCTGCCGTGTTCAGGAGAGATTCCATCTCTAGGAGATTTGAACATCAGAATGGTTCTTGAGAGCTAAAGAAATCTGTTCTTGTTCCCTACCCAGTAGGATTGAACTTTAATTCCTTCCCCACCCTTGCAAATCTTAAATATTCTGAAGTTTAGACATTTTCCAAATTTTCCTTTCTGAATAAGAATGTCTGAAGTCTGAGTCACTCTATATAGTAAATGTTATCCCTAGATGGATTTTTTTCCCCATTAGCATTTTGGTTTTTTTTTGTTTTTTTGTTTTTTTTTCTTATTACATTTGCAGTTATTTTCCAGGTAAGGACAGTTTCAAGTGACTACGATTACATTCCTTTGCTAAAGTAGACTTCTGATAGAAATGAGGATGCAAGTGTCATTGGGAAAATGCCAACAATGACAATTAACTTCTTTTTTTTCAACCACTAGAAGTCAGGTTGCAACAGGGGCCTTGTAAGTTGTGACAAAATTAAGAAGCATTTTAAGATGGCTTCAGCTCACATGCAAAATTCTTAAAGCATTCAGTTGTCACAGGCATCTGGTTCCCAAACTCATTTGGGAACATTTCAGAGTTGGTTGATAGATATGTTTTCACAGAATGTTAGGTCTGTTAATAGCCTTAGTGATAAACTAATCAGGTTTTGTATACAGTAAGAAAGAGCTTCAAATAAATCTTTAAAATAAAATCCTTATCAGTTGTGTCTTAGAATGAACATAGGAGTCACATTGACACAGTTCAGTGGTTTGCTAGCTGTGTGATTTGGGGGAAGTTACTTCACCTCTCTGAACCTCAGTTTCTATATCTGTCACATGGAGGTGACTGCAAAGAAGTGCAATAGGGCTAGACCAGGGTCAAAATAACTGGAGACTGTTAAGCTTAAAGAAATTTTCAAGAAAATATGTGCAAAAATGCTTTGCACAGCTATGGTATAAAGAAAATGCTCAGAAATGATAGCGGTTGCTGTTACCCCATCCTTCAGAAGCAATCACCACCACTTCAGGAAGCAGCAATCTTGCAACCAATCAAGACTCCTGCCAGAGAGTGGGGTACAGTGGGAAGAGCTGAAGTGAGTCTCCAGCATTTGCAGGCTTCAGGCTTGAGGATCTCCATCTCTCACCTAGTAACCTAGGACTGGACCCATTGGGATCCAGGAAGGCTGATGGAGATGTCACTGCTTCTCTGCTACACTGTCTGCTCCAGCCACATTCCTGATCTTATCCATTTGACTTTTTGCCTAACAACCACTTACAGGACCAGGCATGGTGATGCTCCCACTTGGGAGACAGAGGCTGGCCGATCTCTATGAGACTGAGGCCAGGCTGGTCTACATAGTGAGTTCTAGGTCAACTGGGGCTACAGGGAGACCCTGTCTCAAAACAAAATCAAGCACTTATAGACTGAGTTCTAGAAATAAGAAAAGAGGCCAGGGGCTGGGGCACTGATTCAGCCAGTAAAGCACATAAGCCTGAGTTTAATCCCCAGCAGAGCATGGTATTATCTATAACCCCAGGGTTGGGGTGAAGAGACAGAGGATCCCTGTGGCTTATTGGTCAGCCAGCTTAGCCAATCAGTGATCTCCAGGTTCAGTGAGAGACTCTGTCTCAAAAAAAATAAAGTGGAGAGCAATAGAGGAACTCACCCTGACGTAGATCTCTGGCCTCCAGGAGTACTAGGGGGAGGGAGAGAAGGGAGGGCGAGAAGAGGAGGGAGAGAAGAGGAGAGAGAGAGAGAGAGAGAGAGAGAGAGAGAGAGAGAGAGAGAGAGAATGAAAGATGAGGAAGAGGAAGAAGACAAGAAGAAGAGAGAGAAGGAGAAGGAGAAGGAGAAGGAGAAGGAGAAGAAGAAGAAGAAGAAGAAGAAGAAAAGAGAAGCAAAAACAAGGCTAAACTGGGTGCAGAAGAAACTGCCCTGAAATTCTATAATTCTATACAAGGTCTTAACATGGTGCTGCTAATCCTACTGGAAAGGGTCTGAGAAATGCTGAGAAGTGTGATTCCCTCACTAACTTCTTATAGCAGCAGGAATGGGAAGAGCCCACCCCTGATCCACCCTTAGTAGCTCTGTCTTTATGGACCTTAGGCCTGTAGCCCAGCCTTTCTGCTCTTTAATGTACCCATTGTAATGTGGGACTCCTCAGAGCACTGTCTCCTATTGCCTTCAAAGGACCGAGGGAAATGAAACAGATGAGGTGCTTGGAAAGAAAACTGACTTGTGGTGGGGTGCCATGGCACCTTAACCCCAGCACTCGAGAGGGAGAGGCAGGCGAATCTCTATGAGTTCAAGGCCAGCTTGGCCTACATAGTGAGTTCTCAATCAGCTGGGGCTACAGAGATACTCTGTCTCAAAAAGACCAAAAAAAAAAAAAAAAAAAAAAAAGGGAAATGGAAATGGAAATTGACTCATAATAAGTTTCTATTGAACTATGAAAGCATGGATGGTCATCTTCCATGAAATATGCAAGAGAGTCCAGC